GCTCAGGTTTGAAGTTACCCTTAGTCATTGTCCTTCTAAATTTCATGTTATGACCGTTATCAAACTTCTGTTCAGGAAACATGGCCTTATCCCTTGCATTCAGGATGAAGGGCTCATTTTCTAATCACTGCAAACCTGTGTCCTCCACTGTTTGGTGTAAGTGTAAAGCTATATTGCTGTAGATAAAGGTACCTCAAGCTTTGCATTTGGTATATAAATGTACACACAATTATAATGAATTAGTGCTCGACAAAGAAATAATTTACCTGGTTCAAATAATACATCAACTGTTTTGTTTTAGTAGAAAACTGGAAGATCATCCTGTAGCTCCTTTTGAGGCTGAGTACTAGTGAACACTTGGGCATAATGGAGACAGTTCGTTGTTCAGCAGACAGCAGCATTGTTTCCAAAATGGTACACTGATCATTAATTACATTGTTTTCTTTGACCTGATTTGACAGAGTAATTGTTCTTCTGAAATAATTGGGTGTCATCTTTTCTCCATAGAAGCTCTGCACTACTATTTTGTAAATTACTAACTTTAAAATAATTTGTAATTAGTACATGTTTATAGGACAAATGTTCACTGTGGCAAATTGGTACATCTACATATCATGTCTTCATCCTTTTTATGTCCCGTTTCCCTCTCCTTCCCCCCAAACAATATGGATTTTTCTCATCAGTGATGCACACTGATATGTGTCAATTATAGTTTGAAAAACTGACCAAAAATTAAAAATCATATGGATAGTGTTTAGATACTAACATCTTGTGCTGAGTCTGTTAGGGATCGCATAGTGTAGTCATTACCCTGACTGGACATCATCACTGTGATGCAATATATTATTATTTTACCTCAAACATTTTATATTTAGTGACATCTATCATATGGTAAACTTACTTTAAAACATTTTGCTGAAAATAAAATGGTATGTAAAATTTCTGTAAAGGTTGTTTTTTCAGGGTTGTTAGAAGGGTTTTTATTTTTCTGATCTCCATTGTAAAATTTCATTTCTTAGTTTTGTTTTTCTTTTATTTGTCTGTTGCTTACTGAATTCCCTTAGTTTGTGATAATGTGTGCACATACCTAACTACTTCTTTCCTGTCTGTCGAAGAGGAAAAAACCCTATATTTCCCTAGCAGTCCATGGTTGTGTTCCTGTCTCGTAAAATAGAACCATAACTGGATCTAAACGACATAAAAGGTAAACAAGGAAGGACAGAGAGGTTGCATTCTTCAGAGGAGCCCCAGTCTGCACCTTCAGCTTTGATGTCGTCTCCCGGCTTCTAGTGCAGACTCTTTGGCTTCCACCTTGGATCCGTCAGCCTTCCGTGGCAGACCCATCAGCCTCATGATACAAACTTGCACAGAACACTGCCTTGCACTCCAGATTTTGGACTGAATCCTTCTGTCCCCAGTGTATAGACACCCTCTGCATGCTTCCTCATCCAACTCTTTGGCTGACCGTCATATCCCAATCTTGTAATTTCTTATACATTTGTATATCTTGTGTTATATCTGTTTCTCCAGTAAAACCCTGACTGATACATGGGTGGATGGCTAAAGCAAGTATACATATCACCTCTCATAATTATCTGTTCTGCACTTCAAATCTCTCAGCAATTTTTAAGTATGCAATACACTGTTGTTAATTGTAGTGATACCATGTTGTACAATGAAACTCACAAAATCTTTCTGTCCTGACAAATGATGTTTGTATCTTTTAGCTAACATCTCCTCAACCCCTCTATCCCCAAAACATACTGCATACTAGCCCCTAGTTATCAGTATTCTTCTGTGAGTTTATGAATTCCTCATTTTATATTCCATAGATGAGTGAGGTGAAGTGGTATTTATTCTTTTTACCTGGCCGAGTTTTCACATTTACTTTGAAATCCTCTAGGGTTTTTCATGTAACAAATGAGACAATTCTCTTCCTTGTTCAGGCTGAATAGTATTGCATTGCACATACTTTTTATGTTTTATTTATTCAACATCTGTTAATGAACACAATATGATGTTATGTGAATAAGACTGATATAAATATGAGAGTTTGGTGGAATAAGTCAGCTCTGTGGGAATACAACACAACACCTGACACAGGCTACTTAGGAGTACAGAGAGATTTATTTTGGTTTGTGATTCATGGGACATTGTCTTAGTTACTTTTCTCATTGTGGAGACAAAATACCCAACATCCACAAGCAGAAGGAGGAAAGATTTATTTCAGTTCATACTTTGTAGAGGCTTCAGTCCATAATCAGGCTCTGAGGCAGGATGGCAGGGCAGAGGGACACCATGCAGAAACAGTTCATGGTGTGGCAGGTAGAAGGCAGAGAAGCAACAAGCAGCAGCAGCCTCCTTTCTGTCCCTTCATATTCCATTCAAGCTACAGCCTATTGATTGGTGCCACCTATGTGAGATAGTACATATCCTTCAAATTAATTTCTGATTAAAATAAGTAGAATTGGTTTTTATTGGATCCTAGCAATCTTGACTACTACAGAAATTTTCTTACAGTGATAATAGTTTTAAATAAAATGTAGCTTTAATGTAGTGATCATACATAAAAACTCATTTACATTTTAACTTTAAAGTTTAAAATAGCACCAATATTGCATTATTCTCTTACTAAGCAGAATTTGTTAATCTCATTGACATTTAATAAATTTGGTAAAAACAACTATTTTTACTGTTGAAAATCAAATACTATTAAGTATAGCAACAAAAAAATATCCAATAAGAGCCTAGGTCACATTCAGTAAACAACACATTTATTAAATTTACTTTTTAAAATTGCATTAAATTCTGTTGATTGCATGTGCTATTTTAACAATTTTTTAAAAGATTCTCACTCTATGCCCATTTTCAAATTGAGTTATACTGAGTAAAAGAAGAGTGACAACTCTTAAGCATTTTTTAACTTATGTTCCTTCCAAAAAACATCACATTCTCTCACATGACATGGCATCTAGAATATATGAAAATACTATATTGCTATATAATATGTTAAAGTTAATGCTAGAATGTTAGCTGAGATAATATAAAAATGAATCAAATTAACTGTGTTGTACTTTGATATTCACATTGTGTGTGTTTGAGGATGAGAAGAGAGTGTAAGTGGCTTTAGTGTATGAAAAACCAACTTCCAGGGTATTTGAGGTGATATCTTATTCTATACTAAGGTTTCTATACCTTCTTGTGCTCTTTGATTACATAGTGATTTTATAGTTTTCAACATGCACGTAAAAGTAATTATAACAGAAGCCATTTTAAAATGACAAGGCAAAAGCTTTCTGTTACTATCAGTTTCTTTGAAAGAATGTTTTTGGGCTATGTTTTCTACTCTAAAGAGGTGATACATAGTATATTAACTATTGTTATTCTCTTATTTTATTATGAAATTGTTTAATTTTTTCATAAAATAAAAAAAGATAAGGCAAGTAAAATTCTCTCTAAAGCAAACTAACCTGAAGCTCAGAGAGATTAAAAACTTTTCCAAGCCTGTATTTCCAAAGAGAAGGACCAGAGCCAAGACGTGCATGTAGCTCTTCTGAGTAGATCCACAGCCCAAATTATGGACTCTAGTGCTCTGGGATCAGCTTTCATATACAGTGGTTGTTAGTTTCTTTAGTTTCTTTTCTTGGATGCGTTCCTTAGCACCTATTCTCTGTTCATGCAAAGGTCTGCTCAATGGCTGACCACAGTCAGGGGTGGAGAAAGAATTCACTACCGTTATGAAAAAGCTAAGACAAGGTCACACACGGGCTGTTAAGTCAAGAAAGAATAACGAGAGAAGTTGAGAAAACAGTTTTATTGTTGTTGTTAAAGGTAAGCATCTTTGAGTAAGTAGAGATACAACCCTGTTTGTGTGTGTGTAAGATGAGTGTGTGTGAGATGGTTGAGTGTGTGTGAGATGGTTGCCTATAAAGTTCTTACATCTAGCTCTGAATTGCCTTTTTCCTATTAATATCAGTTGAAAAACCTAATTTGTTTATACTTAGCTGAAAGACTCATAAATGAACCTATAGAAAGTGGTACTAAAAACTAGTTACTGAGGTGTGCTCTTTAGGTGTAGAACAAAAAAGACATAATCATAACCCTTGAAAATTCTTCTGAAAATTGATACAAAGATTGTTTGAGGGAAGCCCCATGACATTAAATAGAAAAGTCTATACTTGAATTTCAGTTACTTCCAAGAGAGCACCAAGGGATATCAGTATAAATACATCATTTGATTAGCTTGCTTGATCTATTCAGATAATTACTTTAATGCTTTGCATTATATGCAGAAATACTCAACTGTTTATAAATTTCTGAATGACATTCTTCACAATCTTCAATACACACCTGCCAGTGGAATACACTGCTTTACCTGTGTCATGATGTCTGCGGGAGTTAACATGGTCATAAAATACAGTCACACCACTGGAACCACCTGATAAACACTGATAATAAAAGTGCTCACATGAATTGATCATTTTCTTACTTCATTTATTTATGATGAGACATATTACAAAAAGTTGATGTTTAAACACCCAAAAGTATTATGAGCAGAAATACAGAGTAAATTCTCACTAAAAAGGGTTACAATAAACTTGAAGAAACTAAAATTTCTCTAGAATCATAGAATAAGACTTCATGGTTGTTTTCTACGTTAGATGGAGTTGGGTGGGGGCAGCAAGGAAAAAGGGATAGCAAGCAAACTGAAAGAGAAAAAATGAAAATAGATCTTTTGCAAAGGGGAAGGAGACCAAATAATGGAGGGAGCAGGGAAGGATAGGGGACAAAAAAGGATTAAGATGTGTTACATACATGTTACCAACTCCCCATGATCAATGTAATCATCATTTACCATGAAATCTTAAATTAATTCATTTTAAATTAATTTAAAATTAATTTTAAATGTGCCTAAAAAATTTATAGCATAAAAAATTGAAGAAGTACTCATTTAAATTTACCTTCATGATTCCAAAAGAAAAGATGGTACAACTAAAACAGCAAATGGTAGTTCTTACTTAAGAAAGTAAGATATTACAAAGTTATTGTAAGTGTTAATTATCCTTGTGCTGAGTGAAAATGGAATCCAAGAGACCAGCTATTACAACAGCTATGTGACCCTGGCACCTTATGTCACGTGTCTAAACATTTCAACATTGGTAGCAAAGGAGGCCCTTTTCACCTAAATCACAAAGCTGATAAGATGATTAAAATGCGAAGTTCTTTGTAAGTATCTCCTTCTTTCTCTTGTGAATGTATTCATTCCATCTGTTCAGCTTCAGCTGAGCACCTAACAATATGTAAGTCAGTTCAATACAGCTGTGGACAAGGGAGGTATTGTTCCTGTCTAGAGTTCATAGTCTAGTAGGAAAGACAAGTAGTATACATAATCACACAAAATGTTAGTTATAATCGAGATCAGTCACAATAACTTTTACTTTCCTTGATTTTAATGTTTATTTTTTATTTTAAAGATTAAAAAAATTAACAAAACAACAATGAAGACAAAATGAAAACAACACAGAAACAACAAAAACGATACATGATCTCAAATCAACATGACAGGAATTAACAATAGTTGCTACATGACATACTGTTATCTTCAATGAAGTTGTTCATTCCACCAGATGTAAGAATGTAACATTGATCAAACAATCAAAGACTGTATCAAGTAATTTTAAAAAATAGAAAAGATGCAGAGCTTCACCACACAAGATGGTAAGAGTTCCACAATGGTTCTTATACTGCATATTGTTGTTTTCAGACCAGTCATTCTGAGTTCCAGATTCAAGCATGCAAAATTGGTCAAGAAAAAGGAAAATTTTCAGCATTGACTGTTCCTTTCAATAAACCACAGACATCCACAATACACCTATCCCAGCTATCCTTGTATAGACATATAAATTTTGTTTGTCATTTTAAAGAGAAAAGAAAAAAATAACAAAAGCAAGTACATAAACAAAACAGCATAGAGAACAACAAAAATGATACAGAATTTCAAAACATGGTGATAGGATATTAACAATGGTTGCTATCTTACATAATGTTATCTTCAAAATGGATGCACATATTACGCAATATAGACATGTAAGAGTGATCCAACAAGTACACGTTAACAGTTCCTCTCGGTAAACCAACAAACAGTAGTAGTACACTGATTGAAATATTTAAACTGGAACTTGAAGGAAGCATTGGAGTTCACAATCCTGTTTCATTCTAGAAAGTGAAAGAAGGGACATGTGGCTGAGGTGTATGGAAGAGTGGTGAGAGGTGAGTGGTCAGCAGGGGCCAGACTGCTCAGAGCTTTACTTAGGAGAGTAAAAGAGGGTGCTTAAAAGTAAATGATAACTTTTTGGAAGAAAAAGGAAATGTTACTTAAAGCTTGTCTATTTCATTTGTAGAAGCTGACAAACTATTCTGCTGAAAGGAATAAAAGTATAGGCAATAGTGCTTTTGATATTCTATGTGTTTCCAACTGCATTCTCAAAGGTACAGTTTTTCTTCTTATGCGTTTTCCGATTGGACACCATGAAAGCTACAGCTGTTTTTCAAAATAGCACTTACAGACCTGTCCTAGGCCTTGCAGCCCCTCCATATCTAAATAAATTAAAAATTTCTTGATTTAAAATGAAAACATTCGGCAACAGTTTGCAGTTTTGACATTCTATGTAATTAAAATCATTAGTTGAAAAACGCTGCAACTTAGACTTTCTCATTAAACTTCTATATGATTAATGTGAGAAAAGATTGTAGTGTATGTCACAAAGAAAAAGTGATATTCTAAATTGAATAAGCTTACTATCTCCCTTCAGCAGGTTCAGTGTCAAGGGTGTTAACTACACTGCCATGGATTCTTTCAACATGTGTGTCTTTGTTTAATTCCATCCTCAAAACCCTTTAAAAATTAAAAGAGAAAGTGAAGATAAAGCTTGACAATAAGAAAACAATTTAATGTAAATAAATTCTTCACCTGGATAGCACATATGAAACTCATAAGTAATGCTTAAATTTTCTTCTACACATTTACAAGTACTTATAGATTTGTAAGGGATGTAAAATTTTTCAAATATTATTGATTATATATATAATGTTTTACCTGAAGTAGTAACTTTCATTTTATTGAAACTTTTATTAAATTTTTAAAGAGATATTTAGAGACTCAAACTTTTCACGAAGTTGAATTCTAA